AAAAAAAAAAAAAAGTTGTGCAGTAATGTATCAGACAGTGTTTCTCTGCTATTCATAAGGTTTTCTCTGGCCAATTATTTGAGAAGGGGATTGCCTCCTCCTTCTTCCTAGTCTGTCTCAGTCTGCAAGCCAGGCTGATACCTGTGCAACAAGTGTACTCCATTGGGTTTGAAACACCAGTGGCACAGCCTCAAGACTCAAAGCAACACGTCACCACAGCAGGACAAACTGACAGACAAGTCTGTCTCCCTTAGCTATTGGAAACCCCTCCAACCACCCTTCCCTGGATCCTTGCGGCTAACTCCTCAATCTGTTCCAGTCCCCTTTGCCTTTTCTGTCCTCTCCCTGCTTCCTGCCTCGCTGCTTGTGGGGGGTAGCCTGGGTTCCCTCTCCTCACCTGGCTCCCTGCAGTTGACTCCTCGATCTGTTCCTATCCCCCTTGCTTTCCTTGTAGGGCATGGCCTGGCTTCCATGCCTTCACCTGGGTCCCTGTGGCTGACTCTTCGATCTGTTCCAATCCCCTTTGCCTTTTCTGTCCTTTCCCTGCTTCCCGCCTTGCTGCTTGTTCTTAGGTCCCTGGAATCCAAATGAGAATGCTATCACTTTAAAATCCAAAATGTTTGCCACTTGTAAGCATTCAAAATGGCTGCCACATGTAAACAATCAAAATGGCTGTACCCTCCAGACAAACAAGAAGGTCAGCCAAAAAACAAGAAAATCTGCATATCTGGGGATAGGGCTATAAGAGAAAAAGGCAGAGAAAGAGAATAATGAAGAAAAAAATGGGAAAAATGCAAAATGAAAAACAAGGAAACGGGGTTAATGGAAAAAAATGGTTCACGGAAGCAATTAATCCTCGTGACTGGTACACCATGCGATCGATCCTCAGCCTATACGACTATGAGACCAGAACAACTAGATGGTGCCTAGCTACAACTGTCAACCACTTGAAGGGGAATCTATGTAGGAGATCCTGGATAGAGAGGGAGAACAATGTGGAACAAAACTCAAAATCATTTGGGAAAAAAAAGGGTGGGGGGGGGAACGACCAGGTTTGCTGGTCTGATAAGAGCCTGGTGGAACCACTGAGCCTATGGTCTCTAGCCGCCCTTCATGTCTGGAATTGAATCCACACCTGTGGCTTCCAGCCAAACAAAAGACAGGCATATGAGTTGAACATTTACCTGAGGCGGATACACTGCTTGGAGAGAGCAATCCTAGGAGAAAGAAGGGCTGTTTATGCACTGGGAGACAGCTCAGGGGGCAGGAGTGCATGGAGGAATGGACACAGGGAAGAGATAACTATCAGGAGGAACTGGGAGGGGAGCTGTTGCACTGGGGTAAATTGTAGTCAATGTCATGAGACATGTGTGAACTGCTGTATGCAAAGTGAATCTGCTCTGTAAACTTTCACCCAAATCACATTACTGCATTGCAATCAGAAATTATTATTTACAAAAGATTTCTACTTTATGGAACTGAAGGATGTTCTCTTTGTAAATTAATACATGATTGCTGTGATTATTCCATACGTGCTTGAGAACATGTATTGTCTGTTACAGTGCATAACACTTGATAAATACTCAACTGTCTTCCAGATTGTTACTTATGTGTTCTATATCCTTATTTATGGTTGCTGGGTAACTTCGCACATACATATTCATAGTTGTTTTAGCTCTATTGTGGATTCTGAATATAACTCTTTATAAAAAAGGAACCAGGGCTGATCACAGGGCTGCAGCAGGGAAAGCACAAGATGAGAATGGAACATCTGGTGCCAGAAACCAAGGATGTACTCAAAGAATTATGAAAGCACGTCAAAAAGACAAAGGAACCAACCTGAAGGTCCATGGCTGGACAAAAACAAAACAGAAAAACCCCAACTCACTGCCATTGAGTCAACTGCGACTCAAAGCTACCCAAAAGGACAGAGAAGACCTGCTCCATAGGGTTTCCAAGGCTATCTATCTCATCTTTCTCCCAGAGTGGCTCGTGGGCTTGAACCACCAACGTTTTGCTTAGCAGCCCAATACTTTATCCACAGTACTACCAGAATTCCTTCCACTGGACAAGTCTGAGCCAATTTTAGCATCTATTAAAATTAAATGATTTTAATAGATTATAACCCCTGAATTAGTAAGAATACATACTGATACTGAAAAGGAAAGACCCTTAAGAGTAGAATGCCAATTAATAAATGTAAAAAGGTCCCTGAGGTCTTCTTAAAACCAAGCAGCAGTTTAGCTTAACTAGTAAAAAAAAAGAAAAGAAAAGTCTGCCTTAAGCATTATGCTCTTTTAAAATCTATCTATGTTGGATTAAGTTGACAACAGTACCCTGAAAGACAGGAACCTTAGGGGGCAGTGAGTTTATGTTAATGGGGGAGAAACAACTCAGAAAAGGAGGGTGAAAATGGTCACATAATTTGAAGAATGTAATCAGTATCACCGAATTGTACACATATAGAAATTGTTGAATTGGTATATGTTTTGCTGAATGTACTCTCAACAACCACAAAATAAAATTTAGAAGACAGAATTAGCAAAACTACCATTTGCAATCAATCATACTGATAAAGGCAAGAATCTCCATTAATTGTAAAACTTTAAGAGAAAGTTTGATGAGAAATAGGATATTTACAGACTCTCAAAGATCTCCCCATAAGGTAATTACTGACACCAAGCCATCAAGGCTAATATCACCATTAATGGGACCAATCAACATTATGTGCCTTCTGATACAGTATCAGGGGGAAGACAAAAATTTTTTTGAGGGATTCCTGACAAAAATGCATAGCCTAAGCCTAATCCTAAAAAAAAAACCCACCCTCAAATTAACAGATACAAACAAAGAAACCGAAAAAAGGATCAGTACTCATTTTTGAGGAGTATAGGAACATGACATACAGACTGAGGAATTGTTCTAGATTAAAGGAAACTAAAGACCTAACAATGTGATATCCTGGATCAGCAAAAGCCTGTTTCTTTTGCTATAAAGGACATTACTAAGGGGGACAAAGGAGCTCTGGTAGCGCAGTGCCTAAGGCACTTAACTGCTAACCAGAAGGGTGGCGGTTTAAACCCACCAGCCACTCCTAGGAAGGAAGATGGGGCAATCTACTTCCGTAGTGATGTTGCCTTGGAAACCCAAGGAGGGGTCACTATGAGTTGGGTCTGACGCGACAGCACCTAACAACAACGAAGGGGAAAAATGGTGAAATCTGAACAAAATCTGTAGCCTCAATGACATGTAACATAATGCTCTAAATGGTTTTGGGGTATGTGTATATACACACAACCAAATATGCACATAAAAAGAGAGAATAGCTTAGTGAAATAAGGTAAAATTTGGGAAATCCAAATCTGAATAAAAGGGTCAACAGAAGAGAATTCTTTGTTTTAGTCTCTCATAAAAAAAAAACTCATTGCCTTCGAGTCGGATCTGACTCATAGTAACTCCTCTTCCTTCAATTTCCGAGGTGGTATCACCTCAGAAGTAGATTGCCCAATGTTCCTAGTTTTTGTCTATTTCAAGAGTAAACCTGAAATATATTCAAAATGAAAACTGTACATAAAGTATGATCTTATCTATTTAATATATATGTATATATATACACATGGATAAGTTATTAGATGCCATCCAGTTGATTTTTGACTCATGGAAACCCCATACTAGGGCACACAGTGTTCTAAGCTGCTATCTTTATGGAAGCAGATCACCAAAGGTCTTTCTCCCGTGGAATAACTGGGTGGGATGGAACCACCAATCCTTCCATTAGCAGTGGAGCACCATCTATCTAATTTTTTTTAAGGAAAAAAATAAACTAGAGAAAAAGTACACCAGAATATAAAGGTATCTCTGGACAATGAGTTTCTTACTTCTTTAATATTTTTCTACATTCTCTAAGTAAGCACACGCTAATTTTATAATGGAAGAAAAATGGTATTTTAAAATGAAGCCTGCTTTATCTGCTTGGGTTCTGGATTCCATGCGTGGGATTCTCCATTGCCATCATCATGTTTTTAAAAACCAGGAAAAATGATGCATGATGTATGGGGCATGTGTCTGTCCAGTCCAGACTAGTGGTATTTTAATACAGATGTGCTAACTTCCCAAAAGATTCAGCACCACTTAAGAATTTCTAAATACTTACGTGCAGTTTTTTCCCATAATATGGAAAATATTTTAAGTCTATAAGTCCTGTGGTAGGATAAGTTGATATAGATGCCACTTGTTCATTCTATAGTTGAAAGCAAAAGAGAATCTTTTTAGGTTAGAAAAAAAAGAAAAATTAAAAAAAAAAAACAAACATTTTTATAATAAAGCAGTATCAATTATGAATACGAAGAAACTATAATGCTGCTGTAACTATATTAATTACAAGTGTATTTCTGAGAAGAGACTTGCTCTTCTTCATTGGAAATACTATGTAATTAAACCCTTGTCACAAACAACCCTGGTTCTTACATTTCTTGTCATAGCCCTATGCCTTTTTCCTGAGAGTCCCTTATAACTCATAGCCATAGCCACTGCGCCTGTACAATCCTACCTATTCCCACAAGCTACCACATGCCGGTTCTCTGGGCACTGAAAGCTGGCATGCAGCAGGTTTGGGAGCGAAGTTTTCCAGAAATGAGTATTGTACTTCCATACTAAAGAGCAATAGCTGCCACAAGTTACCAGTCTACATGTCGCACTCAGACCCAGGAGCAGCAGGTCCAAGAATTTCATGTGACCAATAACCAAGATAACACCTCAGAAGGAAACGATGATGCCATCAACAGAAAATTCAGGGTACCCTAAGCAGAACACTATGTAATCCATTTAAATACCACATATTTCCTATGAATAACTCTACGAACATATTTATAAATCAACAAGTACTGTGGGTCTACTCCAATTACATTCCAGCTAGAAAAACTGATGAATACTATAAATACACAAATTTAATTAAACACCTATGGTTCAATCCATTCATGTTATTATTTATCTCTAGTATTCTTCTTAATATAAATAAGCAATTTATGAAAATTCTCATGTAATACCCTCTAAATCGGCCTAATTCTAGTAAGTATAATACATACTGAGTAGAAAGACAGTAAAATAGACTGCTGTTGTTGTTGTTGTTATATGCCTAGTAAATAGACTACGATGATTAAAACAAGGGGCAGGTTTATTGTTGTGCTAATAAAAACAAAACATTACTAGATACGAATATACGAATTTTTATTTTTGAAAGCTCTTATGAAACAGCACAGCAACACTACAAATCTGCTCTACAGAGTGGCTGTACTCACTGCCTATTTAATGTCAAGATCACGATGCTGCACGTGTATGGTGTGGGAAGGAGAAATACACAGACCAGAGGCAAAGCACAGAATGATATTGTTAGTTGCCCCTGAGTCAATACTGCCTCATGGAACTCCATGTGTGCAGAGTAGAACTGCTCCAGAGCAAAGTCAAAGCTGTGACCTTTCAGAAGCAGATGGGGAGGACTGTCTTTTGAGAGGCCTCTGGGTGGGACTGACCCACCAACCTTTCTGCTAATAGGTAAGTGCTTAACTGTTTACACCCTCCAGGGACTCCTCTAACAAAGAAAGACAATTTCTAATGATCCAAATCAAGGATATTTGAAAAGAATAGGAGATAACAAGAGTAAGATAAACTGTAAAAGCCATTTTTTAATCATTGATCTACACCATGTTTTATCAGTGCTCCTTAATTTTAAAAAGTTTTTAATCTAAAATAGTGTATTAAAAGGAAATTAATCATTTTCACAAGACCTCCGTTGAAACTATTTTTCTTCAATATTTGAGCTTAATTCATACCAACACACAAAAATAGTCCCTGAAATAAAGAGATTTTCTTTTGGTAAAGGAATTGGAGCTGACTTTCTGTAATGTTTAAAGGAAGGCATTTATAATAAACTAATTTCAAAAGCAAAGGAAAAATTCAATGCAGTTATCTTTCCAACCTAATAATAAGAGGTACACTTTACTGAGTGTTTATTTTTTACCAAGTACCACATTTAACTTCTGTTTACACCACAATTGGGCCTTACAGCCCTTAGGTGGGCAGGATCAACTACACAGACAGGAACTGAGGCTCAGATTCACCGTCACTTGCTCAAGATCACTCAAGTATGACATATCTCAACTAATATCTTGGTTTAAACCTAATCCATCATGTTAGCAGGCATTTTCTTTAACTTTTATACCTCTTGTGAAAATGTACACTTAGAAATTGAAACACACACCAAAAAGGTTCTAAACAATAGTTATCTCTGGGTAAGATTCATAGAATTTTTCTTACGCATTTTTCTAAATTTTCTAAACTGAACAGGATTCATTTTGTAGTAAGGTTCTAAACAATAGTTATCTCTGGGTAGCATTCACAGAATTTTTCTTACGCATTTTTCTAAATTTTCTAAACTGAATAGGATTCATTTTGTAGTAGAAAAAAACTAAGGACATAAATATGAATTATTACATCTTGTACAGAACGATTCTATAAATCAATGTAAATTAAAAGGCCACCCCTAAGACTATGCTCCGTCAACAATGTTTCTGTATTTTCAAGTCTAACTGGAATGAAAACAATAAGAGCTAATCAAACTGTTAAGAATGCAAGATGAAATAAAAGATACATGTACTCATAAAACACAAGCAAACTAAGGAGTTTAAACTAAAAAAAATAACTGACGTTGATAAATCTAATGGCAAATAACAATTATGATTACATGCAGTAAATGATTCTATCTGTTCTACAAGGCCACACCTCTAAAATGTATGCCTTCCATCTGGTTACTCCTTTGTGAATAGTGTACGAATAAAAAGCAACATTTTTATATGCATTTCTTCAAAATTTGTGCCCTGGACCAGCAACATCAACATCAGTTGGAAACTTATTAGAAATGTTCATTTGGGGCCCCACTCCAGATCTACTGAGTCAGAAACTTTGGGAATGGGACCTAGCAATCTGTGGGGTTCAACAAGCCTTCCAAATGATCCTGGTGCTTGAACAAGTTTGAGAATCACTGAGCAAGAAGTTTCTGCCCAAATGAGAACTCTATTTGTAGTTAAAGGCCAATTACAATTCTCTTCAAAAACAGCTTTAAAAGTGACTTCAACATAAGATTTCAAGCAAAATACATGTAACTCGAGTTAATATTTACCACAATGATAAATTAAATTGAGAACTCAACAGTTTCTCCTCAGAACTCTTACCCATCATTTACATAATTGTCTTAGCTGCATTTGCAGCATGGAGAGAAAACAAAACAAGTTATGAGATGAAAACTGCACAGAACTCTGGAAAAAACAGAGATAATGGAGAAAATTTGTCTCGATCTCAAGGAAAATGTACCATATTTCACTGAATCTCAGATGCTATTGATAGTTAGCATTGCAATTTATGTACTATTAAGAAAGGAAAAATAATCTTATGATACACTATTAAGATACCATCAATGATAAGGCCAATTGGAATTTCTGAAATATTAGATGGAAAAATAAACATGACTCTTAGAATTGATGAAATATGGCACAAGTAAATGTAAAGGCAATGCATGTGAAATCAAACAGACACAGAAAACAACTTTTTTGAATTATCATTAGCCAAAGTTTGGTGGAATTTTACATTTCTGAGAATGGCACTAGAGGATGTCAAAAATGTGACAGGGAGGAAAATGTGACAAAACTCATTAGAATTCTAAAGTATTCTTAAGAAATACCAAAGCTTTAACGTAAGGCTCAGTTATTTTTTCAACAATACTAACCTTTGAAGTGCATGTTATCCTTGGTTCTCCTTTAGGTTTTAATCCAATTATCTAAGATTTAAAAATATTAAAATTAAATATCACATATACAGTGGAATGTCCTTTGTTGCTGGGGACTAGAAGAAGAGGGCTGAGATTGACACTAACTCTAGCTATTAATACTGTTACATCTGGCTTCTACTTTAATTTTACTTTAGAAGATTAAATCTCACTTAGCTATTACTGTCCTTGGGCAATTAAAAAATAAAAGCCACTACCCAAGAATTGACCAACCAAGTACTATACTTAGCTACTCTTTAAACAAGAAACAAAAAATTTTTAAATGTTAGTACTTATATCAGTAAGTCATTTAACATAAATAATCAGAGCTTAAGGTGCATTAACAGAAAAATGAATTGCTCTTGATGAAAATATGTTAGGTCATAATCCCTAATGTATTTTTCCATACATACACTGGGAAGAATTCCATCTTATGACTATCACAACACCGTTCTGTTCTGTGAAGAGGCCATTTCCATGTATATATCTGATATAACTAACTCTGTATGAATGGTGACAGATTTTATACATCTATTTCATTAGGGAATTTTTGTTGTTGTTGTTGTTGTTATGTGCCGTCGAGTCAAACCCGACTCATAGCGACCCCTCCTTGGGTTTCCGAGGCAGTATCACTACGGAAGTAGGATTGCCCAACCTTCCTTCCGAGGAGTGGCTGGTGGGTTTGAACCGCCAGCCGTCTGGTTAGCAGGCAAGTGTCTTAGCCACTATGCTACCAGAACGCCCAGGGAATTTTTAGAGGTTCTAAATTTATATGCTGCTTACATGTGAATAGCTCTAAATGTACATACTCCTCCAAAAAAGACAAGTAATCATCTAAACAGCAATAACTACTGTTGCCTGTGCAATGGTTTAGGAACAAAACTACTGAACGCAGATCCCCTGATACACGTGAATGTGCACGTCTCATTACAGCTGCGGCGATCCCTGTGTGGTCTGATGCTGTCCTTGGTCTGAACAGCCACAGCCCTATCAGCAAACATATGTTCAGACCCTCATCATTCACAGAGGCTCTGAGAAAGAAAAGAAATTCAGAAGGCTGGTTCTGAAAGCAGGAACTGGGACTATTTCTCTTGGCTTTATACTGGGAATACATTTTTACCAATCTAGGTGTTTGTGAGGCTATTCCTTCATGGCTGGGGTTACAAAAGGCATTCCTGAGCAAATGAATAAACTTAATTCATCTTATAAGCTAGATCATCTAGTTTTACATTGTTGCTATTGTTAGGTACCACTGAATCAATTAACTTTGACTCAAAGCGACCCCATACATTACAGAGTAAAATGGTCCATAGGGTTTCCTAGACTGCTGTCTTTATGGGAGTATACTGTCAGGCCTTTCTCCCACAGAGCTGCTGTGTGGATTTGAACTGTTCACCTTTCAGTCAGAGTGCTTCACCATTGTGCCACCAGGGCTCCTCAGCTTTACATTACAGTTAGTCCCTGACTTACAACACACTGAAGTTAGGGTGAGCCACACGTAAGACCGTCCATATAACTGGAGAAGCAGGGAAGTGCCGATATTGAAGCTGTAAGCTTATATGTAACGTTTTTTAATTCCCAAAGACTTATCAAATTTGGATTCACAAAGATATTGATAAAAGGTAATAGTAATGAAAACTAAAAAAGAAGTATCTGACACATCAGAACCAAATTACAATAGAGTCATAGGAAAGGAACCCCATAATAAAATGGGGACTACCTGTACTTTCAGCTTATTTTCCCTTTTTTAACTTCTATTTTTAAGGAAGTCCTTTTGAAGCATCTCACTGATCACAGCCTGAAAGCCTATTATGTATCAGGCAATGTTTCAGAACAACCTCCAACAGTGCTCTGGACCACTAAGAAAGCAGCAATCATTGTCCACTGCCACCCCTCTGTAAGAAATCCCCAGGGGAAGGAAGGAGAGACTGCAGGAGCATCAGTCTGGGCACTTCTCAGGGTGTAGCTGGCTCTCCCCACAGGGAAACTCCTACATTAGCAGTACCAACCTGAGAAGATCCAAGTTTTACCTTTGTTTGGGATGGTAGTAATTTGCTTACTGATTAGGGACTCTGCAGTGATGCAGGAACTCATGATTCCTGACAGATCTACACCTGCTTAAGAAACTGCTTTTTCTCCATGTAAATGACAAGGAATGGCCTTGCACTTCAAGGAAGGCCTTCCAGGTGGCAACAGGACAACTATCAGAACACAACTCTGTAGCACATGATGTTTATTAAGCAGCAAAACACAGGAATTACAAGGGAAAGCAGTTTCTTCTGTACAGTACCTCTAATTTGTTACTACTTCTATGTAGAGAACATTATCTTAAAAGGAGCTTTGGTGGTACAGTGGATAAGGTATTTGGCTGCTAACCAGAAGGTCAGTGGTTCAAGCTGCTCCACGGGAGGAAGATGAGGCAATCTACTTTCTAAAGATTTACAACCTATCTTGGAAACCCAATGGGGGTCACTATGAGTCGGAACTGACTCAATGGCAGAGAGTTGTTTTTTGGTTTAATGGCTTCATAAGAAGCCCTGGTGGAGCAACTATTAAGTGCTTCGCTGATAACCAAAACCCACCCAGAGGCACTGAGGGAGAAGGACCTGGCAATCTGCTCCCATAAGATGAATGCCTATAAAAACCCTATGTGGCAGTTCTGCTCTGTCACTTGGGGTCACTACTGACTTTACGGCATCTAGCAACAACAACAGCTATGACATTCAGGTGCCCCTTCTGCATAATACAGCAAAATGCTAGTGTTTTGGTTACAACTGCAATGCATCACTGAGCTCATTATCATTAGACTGATTTCACTTGTATTTCTACATTTTAGTTCCTATAATTACATATACTAAGAAACTATGTGCCACTACTAAACAGCTCAGAAAAAGTTAAGGAATCCAAAACTTCATCACCTATGCTGAAACTCATGTAGCTATTTCCAAAAGGAAAAGCTTAAATTATTTTACTCTCTAATCCATCATTTATTTATAAACCAATTTTTTTTTTTTCTGTATTAACGTCTTTTCCCCCAAAGATTAGTAAATATCACTGCTGGCCTCCTAAGCAAGCTAACCCCAAATTGAGGTATCATTTAATAAGAAAGGTATTAACTCAACCAAAACCTATCTAAAAATATCTGCCAGATTTCTATCCATGGATATTAAATAAAAGCAGCAGCAGTATAAGTAAAATATGTACGTACTCTGTTCATTTTCACAAGAATACAAGGGTTTCCTCTGGAATAGCCATATTCACGATCAGTCATGCCACTGCATGCTTGAAGTAACTGAAGAGGAAACTGACACGCAGTATAAACTGGGCCCTTCTGTTCAAAAAGTGCTCCGTCAGGACAGATTGTGAGATTCTTCTGTTCTTCTAACTCATAGGCTTAAGAGGAAATACACGTGTGCATTGATGAACCAAATCAAAATATTAAAAAGAACCAAGGATATATAAACTTTTGGACAATGTTCTTTAAAGGCTACAACCGTAATTACCAGATAACCCTAGGGAAAGAATGTTAAATTTGCTTATTTAACTTTTAGTACCTGTTGAGTGCTCTAAAATAGCATAGCCATCTCTTTATGTGGCAACAGCCATGGCTGCAGCGTCCATCTTCTGGATGTTCTCTTCTATGTGCCAGGCCCAACAGATAAGATGGTGAGGCCTTAAATAGGCACTGCTGCTGCCTTCATGAAGCTAAGTCTACTAGGGACCACACTGGTTGAGTCCTTAAGGCCATCATTAAGTGTTTGGCTTTTACAATACAGCGACCAGGATGGAGGTTTTTAAGCAGGAGACAACATGATCTATTTCAAATTTTTAAAGGCTCACATAGGTTACTTTTTTTGGAGCAGACTACTGGTGGGGCAGGGGTGTAAGCAGGAGGAGGTAAGGCAGGGAGCCCAGTTCAGAGGCTTATTACAGCAATCCAGATGAAGGGAGATGCAGGCCTGGGTCAAGGGAAGGAACAACGGAGTTGGTGAGAACTAAGACCTATGATGGTGAAGAAAAGAAGCAAAAGGAACTCTCATTCACTGCTGATGGGAATGAAAAATGCTACTCACTTTGGTAGCCTCTTATAAAGCTAAACATAGAAACAGTGGTTTCCAGGGGCTCAGGAGGACATGAAGGAGGAATGAATAGATGGAGCACATGGGACTTTTAAGGCAGTGAAACTATTCTCTATGATACTCTAGTCTGGGACTATATCACAAAAAGAGTAAGCCCAAATGGCACGAAGAGCTCTAGTTCTGTTATAGCTGGCTGCTGTTGATTAGGCCCCCAACTCATGGTGCCCCATGCCCAACCGAAGGGGAAATGCCCAGTGCTGCACCACCCCCACAAGTAGCTGTGGATTGCATTGTTGTGAGCCACAGGGTTTTTAGTTGGCTGGTTTTCAGAAGTAGATTGCCAGGTCTTTCTTCCTGTAATGTCTTAACTCTGGAAGCTCTGCTGAAACCTGTTCAACATTACACAAACAGGCAAGCCTGCACTGACAGATGGGTGATGCTACACATGAGGTGCACTGCCTGAGAATCAAACCACATGGGAGGTGAAAATTCTACCACTGACCTACCACTGTTAATGACAATGTATCGCTATTGCTTCATTAACTGTAACACATGGTCACATGAATGGCAAAATATTAGTAACAGGAACCTGTCTGTGTGAGGGGGGTCAGATGTCAGCGATAGATGGGAACTCTCTCTACTTTCTGCACAATTTTTCTGTAAACCTAAAATTTCTCTAAATACAAAGTCTATTAAAAAAAAGTCAGACAGACATAGATACTTCACTTTTCCTCTAGACTATTTAACAAACTAGAAAGGCAAGTCATAGTTCTTTTAGCATCTGAAAGCAGAATTAAGTATAATTCAAATCAAACCCCATGTAGGTAACATACAAAGGACTAAATTTCTTATATTTTTAGATGCTACATACTCCCAGTTTCCCATACAAGCACTACACTGGATCCAAAACACTCAAAGTAATACTCAAGAGGCATCGTTCTACATAAGACAGACCCCCACAATACAAAAAAACCCCAAACCTGCTGCCGTAGAGTTGTCCATGTGTTACAGAGTAAAACTGCTCCACTGGGTTTGCTTGGCTGTAGTCTTTTTAGAAGCAGATTAGGTCTGTCTCCCATGGGACTGCTGGGTGGGCTTGAACTGCCAACCTTGAGGTTAGCAGCTGATTGCAAACCACTTGCGCCACCCAGGTCCTTGTAGACTTGTTCTACTAATCAAATATTTCTTGTTTAATGTAGATGTAAATGTTACGTCAATGAGCTAACTCACTGTACTTAAAGGACAGATGGGAAAATCATACCAACTGTTCATTAGCCTTAGGCCCCATCTTTCCACAAGTGAGAATACTCTTACAACTAATTATAAAATATACTTGCAACTCCTCTTCAGTTATCTATAATTAACAGGAAATGAAGGTAAAATAAACTCTAAGAATGATGTTTCTAAAAGCAGTTATAATGTGCTGCTAGTTTCTGTAATTACTCCAGGAAAACATACTTACACTTTAGAAATTGATCAAGATCTTTAACATATCTTTCATAGGAACTTGCATCAGACAAACTGAATGAATATTCTAGTGCAGTCACTGGTTTTGGAAAAACCATAAGTCCTATTAGAAAAGAAAAAAGAGGAAAATTAAGTATATCAAATTCCCTTTTCTCCTTACTTGGTCTAAAAAAGCAGGTGTCACTAAAGTATATAAAAATCTGTGTCTACAGTATGCTGAACTGCTCAAGAACTTCCTGCTACTATCCAATTATGAAGGTGGTGGTTGTTAGGTGCTACCAAGTCGGTTTCTCCTGCAGAGCCACTGGGTGGGTTCCAATCACCCAGCTGAGCAATTAACTGTTGTGCCACCAAAGCACCTTAATTATGAAGGTATAGTCATCTGAAGTCAAAGAACAACTGCAGTGTAGTAAATTACATAGTGTGGCCTTTCTAGCCATAAGTCTTTGTAAACTTTGTGGTGGAATTAGCTGTGAGCAGCTGAGTAGCTCCTGATTGCTACAGTTATCCACCTGGGATATTTCTGTTGCACCAGCACAAAGCAATCTTCTGGGAAGTTCACTCTCTCTCAGGTGTATAGAATTCTGATGTTGGGATTGTTTAGTGGTCACTCTGCCAGGCTCAAAGGAGCCCTTTTAGAGGCAGAAGGAGTCTCTCTGACTGCTGGCTGAGAAAGACGTGCTGCTGAGAGAAACAAACTCCTGAGAGACACGCACTGCTGAGAGACACCAAGAGACACGTACTTCTGGGGGAGAGACTGAGAGAGACTGTTGGCTGAGAGACAGTGGCCTGAGAGAGACTGAACATTGTTTCTGAACTGCAATTGTAGCCTGGTGCTTCCCTAATAAACCCCATAATCTGTGTGTGAGTTCTGTGTGGCCACAGTGAATTATCGAACCCAGCAGAGAGGTGGTGGGTGCCAAAGGAGGAATGGTTGGTGTCAGGGTTGGTGAAAGGGCTGAAGGGAGGCGGCATGTCTGGTCTTGCAGGGATAGGCCTTGGGCTATTGATGGTGATTCTGTCTTCCTCTTGTGGGGTTAGAGGAGGTCAAAAGATGTGACCTCCCTGCTCCTTTGGCAACAACCAAATCTTCAAAACCACCTCACAATTTGAATTATCAATTTAAAATCTCCCTTAACTGTGACCATTGACAGTTAATTATAATCATTGTTCCTTATAAAAAAGATAAACGTTTTATTCTGTTTTTTCCACATTCATTTTTTTTTTCTTTTTTTATTAGGATTTGGGTGAAGATTTACAGAGTAAATTCACTTTTCATACAGCAGTTCACATATACTTTGTCTCACGTCATTGACCAAAATTTACAATGCAGTAGCTCCCCTCCCACTTCCTCCCCATAGTTACCTCCTCCCAGTGTCCATCCCTTCATACTCTTCGAGAGGCCCATTGTCTGCCAACCCTGT